CGGGACCCGGACCGGACGACGAGACGACGACGACGACCGACCGACGACGACGAGTAGGTACGGACGTACGTACGTAGAGAGACGAGAGAGAGTAGTCTCTCTCTCTCTCTCTCTCTCTCTCTCTCTCTCTCTCTCTCTCTCTCTCTCTCTCTCTCTGTATGTGTGTATGTGTCTGTGTGCGTGCGTGCGTGCGTGCGTGGCGTGTGGGAGCGGGTGTCTGTGTGTGGCTCTTGCTCGCTCTTTTTTTCTCTCACTCTCGCTATGTCTTTTTCTCTTCCTCGCTCTCTTTGTCGGTCTTTCTTTTTCTGTCTCTCTCTAGATCTGTCTCTGTCTCTCTAGCCCTCTGTCTCTCAACCTCTCTCTCTCTCTCACACTCCAGCTCTCTCTCTTTCTCCTGCGGTGATTAAAGTGCCGTGCACCGACGCCTTCCGACGCAAGACGCTTTCCGCCTTTCCGACGCAATTCCTGAGAGATGACTCATGTTCATTTGTGCTGTCGAAATAACAGCGACATACACATTGATTATTAATATTAATGTATTTACCGGTACGTGCGTGCGTATATATGCGTGCGCGTGAGTAATTAAGTGCGTACCAGTGCACGTGCGTACGCGTGTGCGTGCGTGTGTGCGTATACACGTGTGCGTGCGTTCGTGCGCATACACGTATGCGTGCATGCGTGCGTGCATGCGTGCGTACGAGTGTGCGTGCATGCGTGCGTATGCGCGTGCGTGCGTATGCGCGTACGTGCGCACGCAAACGACCCTACGTGGCAAGGAGTTACTTAAGGCAATTCGTGTGGCGGTTGACAGAAGGTTCGCAACAAGCATCGAGCTAATCACCTTACGACGCTCGACTCGAAAATCGTTTCCGCGTAAACTCACGAGGGTGGGAAAGCATATTTACACAAATTCCAACCGAATTCGATTTTCCTCGCACCTTTACGCCGCCTAATCTGATCCCGTCCACTCGTAACGCGTACCGACACGGCAGTTGTCCGTCCATGCATCGCAGCCACCCACACACACCGCGACTGTGAATGCGGTTTTTTGCAGGGCCGTAATGGGCTAGGCAGCATCTACGTGTGGGCGTCGGGCGACGGCGGTGAGAGTGACGATTGCAACTGTGACGGCTATGCGGCGAGCATGTGGACAATCTCGATCAACTCAGCGATCAACACGGGCGAGAACGCGCGCTACGATGAGTCATGCAGCTCGACCATAGCCTCGACGTTCAGCAACGGCGGCAACGATCCCAATTCCGGCGTGGTGAGATACATATACATGAATAAATGAATGCGTGCATCAATTACTGAATGAATGAATGTACGCATTAATGATAAATGATGAAATAATGGATTAAATAAATATATGAATAAACAATTTAATACACGCATGCACGTACGCACACGCATACACCCGCATGCGCGCGCGCCAGACACACACACACACGCACGCACGCACACACACCCATCCATCCAGACTATCCATCTATCCGTATATCCAACCATCTATATTATTATCTGTCTACCTGTCTGTCTATCAATCTGCCTATAACGCACTATAAGCGCCCGTAGAGTGCTGGTCTTCGACCAAAAACGGACTCGACGCTTCTTACTGATGTAATAAGATGTTTATTTACACCGTGAAAAATAGAAAAAACAGACCAAAAGAAAATTAAATAAAAGAAGTTTAACAGTTTGTCTTATTTTAGCTATAGTACTAGATCCTTCAATAACCCGTATACAAATGAAGTCATTATCAGTACCAAAACAGACATTACTATATGTGAACAATACTTCTGACATATGTTCGTTCATGATTCTTATAACCATGGCATTCTATTCTTCATACAAGATATTAGTAACATAAAACATAATATGATCATAACAATTATTACACATAACCTACCGTTCGCACCTTAGACCAGCTAAACCTTTATATCAACTCAATCCTGGTCACTGAGATAGCGAGAGTATGGGACTGTAACCAACGATATTATCAATATAATTGTCTCGAGTTACATTAAAGTTAACAGGGTAATGTTTATCTTTTGTACATTTACATAAAGCTTAATACATATAAGTTAACCAAAATGCACATTATAGCTCAAATATCTTATAAGGGCCACTAACGTAACAAATCATACAGTATACTAAGAAATATTCAAACGGGTAATTGGCTGTTTGACACATGCACATAGATGTAGTACATAAATGTAGTACAGAAATTTACTCGATAAATGACAATACTTAATATTTTACGTTATTACAATCTACATCATGTAATTAACCAAGTACCACACTTCCTTACCAGTGGCGTAGCTAGGATTTTTTCAGCGGGCGGGGGGCACTGGGGGCCTTACATTTTCGTGGGATTTGTGGGGGGGGGGGGGGCACGTGCCCCCCCCCTCCCCCCCCCAGGCCCCCCCGTAGCTACGCCCCTGTTCCTTACCAAAGATGCCTCAGAGTAACGTAATATAGCCATGATTATAGCAGGTGAAATTCGTAGTGGGCAATCAAATATATGCGCTCTGAGCAACATAGTGATCAGGTCCGCACAAAATGTACAGGTAGACCCAAGGGTCACACATGACGTGGTAAAATAATGACTAACTGTATAATTAGTCTAATAAAAATACATATTTACCAAATAAAGAATATCGAAAATACTCAGAACAAAAAACTAATACAGTAGATGTAAAACTGATTCAGCAGCTACATGTCTTCTGCTGACCTCGGCAGTTACACACTGCCTGTCTGCCTGCCTGTCCGCGTCCGTCCGTCGTACATCCATCCGTCCGTCCGTCCGCCGTCACTCCACTTCTGTCTCAGACGCTTCTTATCTCGTTTCCTCACAACGCAAGCGAACTAGCAGCTGTGAATGAGGATATATTTCATATTATCAAGAGCTATTATTAAGGTTGTTTGTATTAATCACTTCCATATCACTCGTTCTCCTGCTACCGGCCTGGGAAATAGTTCGCCATTGTACGCGAGTGAAACTTAAAAGTCTATTGATGTCACTTTACGCTCACGTGTAACTTGTTATTCTCGCTATCTTTGTCACAAGGCAACGACCGATCTTATGGGCAATGTACGAAGAGCCATTCCGGTACATCCGCTGCAGCACCAGAGGCGGCCGGTGGTGTTCGCGCTGGCAATCGAGGCTAAGTAAGTGTCCGTGCTACGCGGTGAGAGACATATACTATAGACATTAGTTTTATAACATATATAAGGTTAATGACTGTCTTAACCTATTGATGGGAAATGAGCAGGCCGGCTGCTGCAGATAATCATCTATTACTCTTAGCATATAGCGAGAATTGATTCTCACTATATCTATGATATGCGCTGACTATATATTATTACTATATATGCAAGATTATAGTAACGAATGCTCTCTTGAATAAGCATACATGATGATTGAAGTCACTTTATCGATTATTGCTGATAATGCTGTCGTAATCCGATTCTTGGGTGTGTTTCATTATGAAATCTTTCTAATAAAGGTGAAATTATCATGATAAAAAATCCATTCCGGCCTTCCTCTGCGATCCTGTCTTCACGTCTGATAGACAAAGTCAAAATGACCAATTCGTAATATCCGTTATTCTTTAAATCACACTGACCTTTCGACACATTATGTATAGAAATTATCACGCGGCTATTGTTTCTACCAAAGATTAACCTAGTCCGTATTCCGTGCATGAATAACGCGATTTTCTTCCCGAATTCTTAGACGGTTAATTTCCAGGCGCCGTAGCATGTGTGTATGTGTGGGGGGGGGGAGCTGCCCCCTCCTAGAATTTGGAGCAAAACTAAAATATAAGCTTAGCTAATAATCGTAAATAACCTAACGTGATTTTTGGGTCACTTATCCGTGAAAGCCTTGTCTCAGACCTATCCCCTACACATCATGGACGTTGGTCAAAAGCTGCGCCCGTCGCTCATCATTACACAGTCGAGTCATAAAATTTTGCCTCCCCAGGAATTTGCTCAGCCTACGGCCCTGTATTCGCAGCATTATTGTTTTCGCGACGATAAGTGTGTTTGTTTGTGTCGCGCAGTCGCGATGCTCACCTGGCGCGATATGCAGGCACCTGACTGTCATGACGTCGACGCGAAACTCGCTCTACTACGACCACACACCGATAAGTTTAAGTGGCAGATGACGGCGTCGGGACTAGAATTCAACCACCTGTTCGGCTTTGGTGTACTGGACGCCGGCGCGATGGTGTCGCTGGCGAAGCGATGGAAGACTGTACCGCCGAGTGTTCCACTGTGAGGCCGGCATCATCGACACCGCGCAGTACGTATGCCGATGATTTAGCCCCTCTGATATAACTGCGTAAAACGTACCCGATTTACGTATCTTCACACGTTAGCTTGAAGCGTGCATGCGTGTGTCCTGTCGGGTTTTTCGGGTAATAGAGCAGCTGATGATAAGATGTGATAAGAGAGGGTTAGAGCAGGATGTGATTGACCTATACCGATTCGTTAGGCGGATTGTGGCAACTTTGGCTTCGAAACTCGCTCTAGACGCTAATTATTATTATGTTATTACTGCGAAAATGCGGCTGCGGGAACGGTTTAGCCGCTTAGATCGCCACGGATTTGCGTGTGAAAACAAGACGCAGGAAAATACTGAAGTTCAGAAGGCGTGTACACATCATAGTTTACGTCAGCATGAATGCGCATTTGTAACGGATTCACAAGCAGTGTTTTGCTGCTGTGGACCATAAGCAGTAGATAACACGTATAGACTCATGGTAAAGAGATACCATAAACACACACACACACACACACACACACACACCACACACCCACTCACGCGAGCACACACACCCCACACACACACACACACACACACACACACACACCACACTCACGGCGAGCACACATACACACCACACACACACACACACACACACACACACACACACACTCACGCGAGCACACATACACACACACACAAACATACCCACATACATACACACACTCTTACACATACACGCACACACACGCGCGCGCGCACAAACTCATGCACACACACACACACACA